AGATCTGAAATTCCAAGAGTATTTCAAGACTTAAGTTGTGACACTGCAAGATTCTGGATAAAAAACAGCCCTGACTCAGAATGAAGTATGCACCTGCACACAGAGCTATGCCATGTGCCTGACAGGACAAAGGTCTTAGGGAGCAAAGCACTGCAATTCTTTCCCATCATTCAAAAATAAACACTCAGTTTATAATTCTAAACTAGAATTCCCATACTATAAATCCTTACCATAATTTTATTTCCATTGTGGCATGGTGTAAGGTCAAATAAGTTACAATAAAACAGAAATTATTCCTTCCTAAAATTATTAACTATTTTTTCTCACTCAATCAGTAAGAGAGAAACAAAGCTGTTTTTTAAGTGTCCCATCAATGCTTATATCCTACTGGCATTTACCACAACAACCAATCCCAACATGGACAGATCTCTCCATACACTGGCAATTTTACAGCCTACTGTTCGTAAAATTTTCATTTTAATTCCACAAGAAGTTATTTAATGTGTAGAATACAGACAACAAAATAGTAAACAAGGTGTTTCTGGAGTTCTACCACTGCACTTCAGCTGAAAGAAGAGGGAAATATAAACAAGAATCTAATGCTTAATGTCATGCTTCTAATTTAAGAAAGCAAATCAGTAACTAAAAAATTAAAATATAAACAAACTTTGCAAATAGAAGATCTCTGATTAGTAAAAATGTCTAGATTAAAAGAAATTACTGAGACGTTTTAAAATACAGATGAAATCATCAATATTTGTTCATTAGTAAGCTTCTATGTCTTCCATTAAAAAAAAGCCAAAGATCAAAAAGAACCCCAAACTCAATGAAGTTGCTTTCACTTTCATGACTGTGCTACCTTACCTGTATTACAAATCCTGAAAAAGGAGGGAGTTTTCTATTTTAAACAGTCTTGGAATTCGTAAAAGCATGGTTTAGATAGCTCAAGTGATACTGTACATTTGACTGAATATTCTTTTACCCATTTTCTTGTTAAGACTTCCAAGGTGTCATTCATACATTTCACAATGTAACCAAACAATTGTGGAGCTACAGAGCCCCTTGTACATCTCAGCATTGGCCTGGGGATGCCCTGCATGGATGCACTAAAGCATTTCTACCTCAGATTTTTCTTAATACTACTGAATTAATGAAGTAACACTAGCCTGACTGTTCCCAAATCAGGCTGATATGGCTAAATCACTTCTGTGCTGTGTCCAGCCTCATGCTAAAATCAGTGAAAGCTGCCAGCTGTCCCCAGAAGGCCTGGTGACACTCCACCTGGCAGGAATCTGTTCACTGCACGGGACACAGGGGATGGGCTGGGAAGCAGCCAGGTGAGGGGACCATCTGCTCCAGTCCCCTGCACAGCTGGGCTAGGTGAGGCCAATCTGAGCTGCACCCCAAGCCAGCTCTTCATGCACAGCTCTGCATTTCCTGCCTAACACACCACAGACTCTCTGCAGCCACAGCCTTCCAGGCAACTATTACTGTCCTGTACAAAATGTCCACGAGTAATTCAAGAGGTTCCCATATTGAACTCTAATAACAGCATTCATTTTTGGAGGCTACTTTACTTAAGAAGCACAAAAATATGGTTTGCCAGTTACAATTAAACTAAACTTGAAAATTTCTTATTAAGAGCCACATAAAGCAAAGAACCATATTTTAAAGGTGACAATAAACTACCCCAAAAATAAAAATAAATAAATAAAATCCTCTAAAATTAGCTCAGATTTTCAGATTGTAAATAAAATCCTTAATCTACACCCTCAAACATATACAACAGGGCACAGTCCAGATGAATCAGCAGATTCTTGAAAGTAGTTATGGAAGGAAAAGCCCAAGCACTGACAATACCACCTACGCTTTTACACTTTTGTACAATGCATTATTATAATGCTAGAATAATATTCTGAAAGGATCAGTCACTGAGGTAGTAATTTTGAGAACATTAATTTGCAGCCAGTGACTAGAACAAAAACAAGTGATGCTTGATATGGGTGGACTGAAGTGCCTCTCAAAAGTATACACAATTCAGACCATAACACACATGAATATAAAATGCAAACAGCACAAAAACAAACCTGAAGCTCTCTGTTTCTGTAATTCAAAAATGCCATAGAAGCTAGTGATGAGAAGGCACACTAGATTCAATATCTAACTGCCACAATTATGCAAATCCCCAATTTTACTTCTATCATTGTGCTCCTACTGATAGAACTTACTGAAGTTCCCTTGTGAGGCCTAAGGGAGCACTACAGACACACATGGCGGTGCCAGACAGGTGTCAACACATGTGAGCTGTGACCAACACACTTGTTTGCAGCTGCAGTTCCATCAGCAAAACCACACTTCTAATAGTGTTGCTGATCACTATTTTGGTGTAGCTGTACTCACATCAGGCTCCACTGCACCTTTAGCACTGACTGGCTCCTCAAACAGGCATCCCTGTGTCTGTATGGGGAGGTTTTGTCCTTGTTCTGCAGTGGTGCACCCACAATTGGGGAACTTCCCCAAACTGGGTACAGAGTTATTTTTAGCATTAGGCAACCTGTGTGGCCCCAGTGTTTCTGAACTGTGCCTTCTTCCACCAAAGGAATCACAACAGGCAGCACTAAGTACACAGCTAGCTACCAAAAGCATGGCAGAGGTACAGCATTCATCTTTCTAAGTTATACACCATTTGTGAAATAAATGAGGTTTTTTTAGTATGTGTACCAAAAGCTGAAAGGATACCATTTACAATCCAGCTGTCTGTAAAAATGCAGCCAATACGTATGAGAAACGTGATCCCAAAGGAGCCTATGATGTGAAATAATGAGAAACTCACATGATGCCTAACACAGGCTTACCTAGAAATAAAGACCAGACAAAGTTAAAAGATAAAAGAAGATATATTTAATTAAGGGCCATCAGGTACATTAAGAGCTACACCCAAAATGGACAATGGTCACAAGTTTCTCAGACAGATATAAGTTTGGTCTACTTATGTATCAGGTGTTAATCCTCCAATTACAGCTTCAGGTAATGAAGCCATATTCCCCAGTTTGTTCCCCCCAAATCACTTTAATTCATACTTTCTGGGGCCTGAGGCTGTAGGGTGTCCTTGGATAACAGGCCCAGAGGGATTGTTTTGTCTAACCAAAATGTGAAGACAGTTAACTACACCTTATATGGAGTTTAGAGCTACGCACTAATACAGTATAGGATTTGAAAAAGACAAAAGCTAAAATTGTAAGGCATCATATAGAACTCACATAAACACTTCCCACAGCAATCTCTTTTTAGTTTTAGTATGTTTTCACCGAAGTTCATGTAAACTGCATTTAGAAGTAGTTTTTAGTACTGTTCAAAGAAATTCTTTCATTAGAACTGTATACAGCTTCTGAAAAGAAGCAGCTATTTCAAGGACACTCTAGGATGTCTATGCAACCATGATGCCCAAAGCTGCGTGTAACTGATTTGCACTGATGCAGCACAAGCACTTCAGTGAACCAATGTAAAATCACGAAATCTGTGCACCAGTCAGTATCAATCTCATCATGAACCACAACCTCTACTCACAGACTGAAGGTTAAGCATCAATTTCAGTTCCCAGTCCTTTACATGCTAATATTTGCCCTTGGAAATTTATACCTGCATAACATTAATAAATTTCGCCCATATAATTAAAACAGACATAATTCTAATACATTTTCATGAATTGATAAGTGTAAAAGATAATGTTATGACAGTTGTTTACTTCTGTAGGAGGCAACATGTTCAGCAAGAAACACTATGAGCAAGTCAGGGTCAAAAGTTGCAAAGTACTTGAAGTGTACAGCTGAGGACCAGGGCATGCTCTGCCAACTCCTACTTAAGCTGGGGAGTATTTATGGCATTTTGACTCATGTAATGCCAGTTTACATGGCCTAATGAACAGAAATGTCTTAAGATAAACAGAAGATGAATCAGAGGAAAAGCTGCATAATCTAAATGCAGTGCTATATACAATCTCTTCATATTAAGTCAATACGCCAAAATGCAAACTTCACTGCGATTTTAATATCACATACTGAAGTATTTTTGCTCATTTCCTCACTGTACTGCCAAACCCTAAAAGTTTCCATTTGGTTTTAGTGCACAGTAATAAAAACTTAAGACTTATTTTTTTACCCAATTAAAATTCAAAAATACTAATGGAAACACTCATTAGCTTCCCCCACAGTCATCTCCAATGACAACGGGGAGACTCAGTATTTTCACAGCGAATTAAAGTGACCCCTACAGATCAGGGCACTTCTAAAAACACTTTGTCCTTTCTGTCGTTCGTCGGAAGTCTTGTGCCCTTCAGTGCTCGACTAAACATTTGCTTACCCTGTCCAATCAGCAAGATCCGAATAAATCATTCTGGTTTTTTCCCCATCAATAAACATAAGGAGATGTAATAGTCTGGTACAGCTGACAATTAACTGCTACTCACCCTGCGCACGACAAATTGACTGAACCTAAACTTGACAGAGACCAACCCGGCAGCCCCGGCTCACGTGGATGAACCACCCCCAGCAATTCGGGCTGTGTGTGTCCCACATCCCTCCGGCGAGGCAGGTCCACGCCACACGTTCCCTCCGGAGGGAAATGACAGGAGGTCTCCGAGTCCTTTCCCCCTGGAAGACCTGGAGAGCGACTGCTCGGGAGGTGCCACGGGCCACGACACCCGGGATCGATCGATCGCCTGCGGGGGGGACGAGCCAAGGAGACATTTCCTCGCTTCCCACAATTCTTACTACACTACAAGCCTGGGATGGTGTGGCCTGATTACACAAAAAATAATAATAACAGAGAGGCAGGGAGATCAGAGATAAACACATCATCGGGAGAGGAGGGTTCTTCCCCTCTATTAAACCTTAGTCATCGCTGCTCCCATTTCTGAAGGCCCGACGGTAAAAGCACGGATAACAGGGCGGGGGGCGACGGAACCGACACAGACACAGGCACGGGCAGGCGCCGTTCCTTACCTTCCTGCTCGCTCCTCCGAGGGACACCTTGGGCCTTGTTTTGAAATCCCCTTCAAAGCTGAACATGTTTACAGCTTATCCCATGGGGAGAGGGGCCCGGCAGGGCGAGCGGAGGGGGCCGCACGAAACCCCCGGGCTGGCGCCCCGCGGCCCGCCCGCCCCCGCGGGGCTGCTCCCCCGTCCCCCGCCTTCCCCGCGGCCTTCGCTATCCCGGTCGCCCCGTTCCTGACCGGCGGCGACGGCGGAGCGTAGTGGGAGGAGGGAGAAGGAGGAGGAGGGAGCGGAGGAGGGGGCAGAGAGAGCGCTCCCGCCGGCCGCGCAGAGAAGATGGCGGCCGCCCGCCGCCCGCCGGGCGCGCTCCCGACACACGGCCGCGCCCGCCGCCCCGCCCCCGGCCCGCGCCGGCCCTCAGCGGCGCCGGCTGTCCCCGCCGTGCTGTCCCCGCTGTCCCCGCTGTCCCGGCTGGGGTGTTTCACGGGAAGTTTCCCTGCTCCGGGCTCCACGGGAACTGCCTGCGGGTGTATGGGGGAGGCTGGGGCTGGACTGCGCTTTGGTGCCGCATCCTGCCCAGACGGGCCGCGCTGAGGGTCAGAACCGAGCTGAGGGTCCCGCCGGGCTTTGGCTGAGGGCTGCCTTCCTCGGCGTCATTTGGCTATGGGAGCACACCTGTTACACACACGCACCCATAAATATACATATATACAATTTGTACTTTTAGTAGCATAAGTATATCAGAGAATATATAAGGTTGAAAAAGATCTCTAAGATCACAGAGTCGAACTTTTGACTAAACACCGCCATCAACTAAGTGCCACATCCAGTTCTTAAACAACTCTAGGGACGGTGACTCCACCTCCCTGGAAAGCCCATTTCAATGTTTAATCAATGTTTAATCCTTTTCTGTGAAAAAAATTCCTCCTGTTGTCCATCCTGAGCATCCCATGGTGTGAGTTGAGGCCAGTTCCTTTTGTCCTGGGCTGGGAGAAGAGTCCGACCCCTACCTGGTTAAACCTTGCTTTCAGGGAGTTGTAGGGATAAGGTCCATGATAGAGGTGGTCTCGGGAATGGGACCCCGGCTGATGAGGAGTGGAAAGAGAAAAAGGCTGTAATGCAGAAGCAGCGAAGAGAAAAAGGCTTTCATGTAAAAGCAGCGCACCTGAACGGTGAAACTAAAGCACCTGAGGCTGCTTCACATTTCTTAGCCCATTCTCCATTTTTTCAGTGTGGTGGCTGCATCACTCCAGATACAGAGGTGGCACAGACAACAGCAAAAACAAAATCAATTACTCAGTCTGCAGCTCAAGGTGGTAAATAAATATAGGTGGCCAAATCCAGCTTCATTCCCTCCAGTGGAAATTTGATTTCATGAGCTCTAACTCGTGAATTCTGACATCAGCATATCACAACAAACAAATGGTAAGCACCCACTCCAGGAGACGATGTATGTGCTTTGCAGCTGCTCATACCAAGAGCACTATGCTCTTTAACTGTTGTCAAGCTGGCTGGCAAATTAAATATTTGTTCAGATTTCATTGGATTTGGATGATTCAGAAGAGTGCAAGTTCTAAAATTTCAGACTTTTCGTAAGGGAATGAGTACTTGGCAAGAGTAAGCATCAGCCTGGCATTTCCCCAGATAACATCGTCTCAGTATAAGCAAGCCCAGCCTCCTTAAATACTGTTTACAAATACAGATGGGGTTTAGGGTCTTGTGAAATACCACGTCAAATGTTTGTTCATAGTTTCAACACATTGCGTTCCTAATGAAATATTCTACCACTCTGTATTGAAATTATAGTAAGTTTTTTCCCAAACATGACAAGACTCTTTTCAATTTGAATTTGGCCTTGATAAACTTTATAAGTCTCATAGAAAAAAGGACTAGGTGTCCCTAGCAGTTAATTAATTAATTTTCATTAGCATAGAAGCAACATGTTAGGTCATGAGTTTGTGCCAATTTTATCAGTAGCAAAGACAACTTAGGGATGCAATCCCTCCTCATGTAAGAAGCCAAAGAAACATGAAACTACAGAGAGTAGAGTTTCTATGAAGTAGGGTTTTCACTGATACACATTTGACATATTCCAGCTTCAGTGTCAGAAGGACACAAGATCTTCTGCTGACCCTGGCTGTTACCTTCTGCAGAAGTGTTTGGTAAATGACACAGGCCCAACTGATGAGTGTCTGAGAAGTCTTGGTGATTTCTGGCATCCCCAGCACAGGCCACCAAGATGTTCAGAGGGATGGAGCACCTCTCTTATGAGGAAAGGTTGGGAGAACTGGGGTTGTTCAGCCTGGAGAAGAGAATGTTGTGGAGTGACCCCACTGTGGCCTTCCAGTACCTGAAGGGAGCCTGCAAGAAAGATGAAAAGAAAGTTTTTACAATGGAATGTAGTGACAGGACAAGGGAGAATGGCTTTAAACCAAAAGAGAGTAGGTTCAGATTAGATACTAGAAAAAAATTCTTTACAGTGAGGGTGGTGAGGCACTGGAAGAGATTGCCCAGAGAAAAGTTGTGCATGCCCCATCCCTGGAAGGGTTCAGGGACAGGTTGGATGGGACTCAGAGCAACACGGTCTGGTAGGAGGTGTCCCTATCCATGGCAGGGGGATTGGAACTGGATGATCTTTAAGGGCCCTTCCAACGCAAACCATTCTGTGATTCTCTGATTTGCATGCACCCCTCGAGACACTAGTTTAATATTCTCAGGGAGAAGCAAGAACAGGTTGTTCCATGAAGGAAGCAAAGTGGATGCCCCCAGCATGACCCTAGCACAGGCCATGCCCTCCCAGGTCGGAACAGAATTCCACAGGATCCAGAGAGAGGGCAGAGCCTGGCAGTGGTTGCACAGGATTCACTGACAGCCCAGGCAGGGTGAGGGGATGAGTCCTGAGAGGCCAGACAGTGCTATGGTGTAAGTCCACAGTTCATCCAGGAGGAAGGGCTGAAGACAGGTACACCTGAGCTTAGATGGACCGATGAGCAGTGCTGGGAGTGAGTGGGGACCCCAGATGAAGCTGTTCAGGGCAATCCAGGGCTCCCATATGTGTGCTCTGTTAACCCACCTGCCTCACCTGCTCCAATTGCACATTCCACAAGACCTTTTGTGTTCTCCTAGTCACAGTTCTCTGCCCTGTGATTGAACCTTTTTGCCTCTGCACACATGTGGGCACATTGCTCCCAGGCACAGGTAGCTTGGTCCAGTTGTTTATCAGGTGCAGTCTGATCTTTTTAATAAAAGATGTCATTACTCAACATTTTCTTCACTCTTTGAAATCAAGTTTCCCAAGTGTGTGCAAATGCCATCTTTTTCTTGTAAATGCACACCATAGAAATTAAAACAGCAACACAAAGGTAGTCACAGTTGTGGAAAATATGGGTAAAGTGTGATTCAATCCACTTTACAGAGAAAATTGCCTACAGAGTGTCTCCAGGGCCTGCTTCTAGGTACCAAGGTACAGGAAAAATCTGTGGCTCCCATATGGCTGTTGTAAGATCTTCCTTTTTCACTGTAAGTGGCTTGGAGCGAAGTCATCTTCTAAAAGTCTCTTGTTGACACTTTGAATGTCTGTTGTTGAGCAGAAGAAAAAGAGGAATGAAGATTTGATGGGTAGCAATAATAACAAGAAAAATAATTCCTTCCCAACAGTGACGAAGATGTTGAGTTGTTGTGCTGGGTGCCAAGGATAAGATTACTGAGGTGACTTATGAACTTCTAAAATTATGAGCTCCTTTTACCTTAATGTAAGTAGCATCACACTCTGCCTCTGTCGGGGAGATGTTTTTATTTTTGTAAATACTCTTCCTACATATTAAAACAAATCAATGGCACTTAAGTTTTCAAAGGAAAATAAATATTACATACTTTACCCTTTTAATGACTACTGTTTTATATCTACAATCTTTTTTCTATTCTCAGACTATCCTCAAACAATTTAAGTTCTGATACATTGTCCTTCTGGCCTCATTCTGTACACACAATCTTGATTTAGACAGGGTAAACAATCAAGACTGTATTTGGCAATTGCTCAGTTCTATAGGGTATGATGGCCAAATTGTCACCACCTTACCATTACTTTCCATTCTCTATGCAATTATAACAAAGTGTCCTAAACTTTTTTGCTGACTTGCTGAACTCAGATGAAAATCTAAGATGCACTGACAGCACCTCATTATGTGCTACATTATTTCCCAAGGTACAGAAAGATTTTTTACAAGAGTGCATAAAAAATGAACAGTAAATAAGTTAGAAATGCTTTAATTTAGAGGAGATGAGGCTTGAGATTAGTCCAAATGCTGTGATAGGCCAATATCTGATTTTTAGTAATGCTTTTAGTAAGGTTTGCTACCATATGGACTGACAGTGGGAGGTGATTTTTTTTTTAATTTATTTACTCTGGGTAAAACACTGAAAATTAAATCTGTTCTATCAGAGAAGATACTGGCAAGACTGTAATGTAAAAAGCACTTCACTTAAGCACTTCCTTTAGTTAAACCTGAGTGCCAATAGACACTGCCAAGGAATGAAGACATTTTATTTAAAATTACACTGGCAAGAGACCATCAAATTATCCTTAACATTTTCATTAAATTGAGATACAGATATAGTTAGGGTAGTAAATCTTTTCAATACAAGGAGTTTATTCCTGAGCCAAGGCCAGATTCAGCAGTAATTGTAGGAACTATTAAGACCTGAAGGCTCACCTACATTACCAAAACAACTGTTTGAGGCTTTGGCCCAGTTTTGAAAAATGGACAGGCTCCATCCTGTACTACAGAGTTAATCACATCAGCAAACTACAGTGATGTGTTTGGATTCCAGTCTGGGGCCATCATTCCATGTTTTGTTGGCTTGGTTCAGTGACATTTTGGGGGTTTCCATTTAAAATCTACAAATTGGTTACCTGCTGTCCCAGCTCTTAAGGAAAAAATTCAAACAAGTGATACCTTTCTGAGAATTGACACTTTATTCCTCTAAAGGCATGTTGAGTGGAAGAGATGAGGAACGTTATGTCCACAGTTTCTAAGATGCAAAAGTTATTAGCCTATAGTCTCAGCTCCTTTATAATAGCTACACCTCAAAACTTCCCCCCTAGAGGTGCCTACATTTCATTCACAGCTTCTGATGGAGCAAGATCATTTTCAGAATCCAGTCTTCT